TGGGGAGTACAGAAATTTCTAATAGAATTCTTAGACAGTATAGAATTATGTAAATTAATTAAGAATAATATCTAAAAGAGTTTACAAAAAAAATGAATCCGAAAAATTATAATTAAGTATAAAATAATTAAATTCAATGAGTTTTATGCAACACTTTGTTTCTCATTAGGTTCCTGAATGGTCGAATGCCTATTTGAATTACCAATTCTTAAAAGAAGTATTAGACCCATTTAAAAGAGTAACTAATTCTCTGCCAATCATCAATTTAACAATTAAACTTATCAAAGATTAAAATTTAGTTGCTAATATTCCATAAGAAATATAAACTAAGTTATAAATCTTAGACGAAGAATTTATACAATTGTTTTAAGACGAAACGAATAAATGCAATTAATTTTATATGATTCAGGTTAAAATATTATAGTATCAATACGAAACGATGATAGATTCTGAAGATGACCTAGGAAGAATAAAAACCTTGGAAATTCTCTATAAAAAAGGGTAATTGCTAAAATCATTCAAAAATTCTAATATTGAAGCTTCCAATCGAATTTTATCACTATATCACCAATATACAAGCTTTATTGATAATTCAGAAAGTCACATGAATCATTTCTTTAAGAATTTATAATTTGTTAATGATACTTCTTTGAATAAGATAGTAAAGAATATTAAAGCATTATATTTAATAAATGGATGGGATGGCAATGAATTAGCAAAGTTAAAACAATCACATGCAATACAACATAAACTCTAATATATTGGATTTCTTGGAGGGATAATACTGTTTCTTATGTTATCCTTTATTTACTAAAGAATCGATCTTAATTATTTGAGCATTTCAGAGGACTATTCAACTTACTTACTATTTATAACGATGGGAATTCCTTTATTTTATTTATGGTTTTTTTCTACTTTGTTGCAGATCTTCAAAAAAAGATACATTAATTATTGGGTAATTTTTAAGATCGATTACATACGAGATTCGATATCTAAGTTCTATTATTTGGCTGCTGTCATTACTATAATCTTTTTACTAATTGTTAATTATGGATTAATTTCTGAATTGCAATTTTATGCACTAAGCAATCATTTAATTTATTATCACATATTTAACTTTTTTGAATTTGATCCAATATATGCATTATTTATACTTTGGATATTCTTAATATTATTTATGATAAATCCATTTAAGATTTTTGGATATCAAGCTAGAAAATATTTTTGGATTTTACAAATCAAAACATTGAGTGGTTTATATTATAGTAAGGAAATTCTTTGGAATGTCGAATAAATGGTATCAAATTTATATCAATATATTTAGGTGAGTTGCAGCCAGTTCTTTAGATTGTTCTCCTATACCATTCATTATTATTTTTGCTATTTCAAACATTAGACTTAATTTAAAGAATTCAACTATCTATCGTAAGGTGTTCTTATAGTGCCCTTTATCTATGGTTTCTATTATTCATTAAGAGTTTATGTTTAAGATAAGAAATCTTACCTCAATTTAATAAAATTTGCATCAATGTTGACGTTAATTTCACTCAGCCAAATCAATATCTTTGTGACTTTTCTACCGAATTACCTTCTTCAGAGTTTAATCATTTTATGTGGTTTGAGTGTCTCCTATGTTGATGTTAAATATGATTGGGGTTTATTAAATAAATTATCCTCAAATTGTAAATAAATGTCTTATTTTAGGTCTTTTAAGATAAATTTTAGGATATAATAAAAATTTCTACTATTTCTCAATATTCTATAATATCGTTGGAAGAATCTGTCTGTTTTAGTAACTTTGCTTTATAATTCAAAGTAAAAACCTTTTACTTATTTTGTGTATCATTGAATCCATTCGTTGTAAGTGGTTATTCTTAAATTATTTCTAGTATTTTTATGGAATTTAATAGCGATAGAAAAAGAACATGTGATTAATATTGGAGAATTCAAGGCTGTGGCTGATATCTTGATTGAAAAAGATAATGATCTTATGGTATTAATCAATAAATATAATGATATTAGATTGAATTAGGAAAGTTTTTGCATGATTTGAACAATCAAACCTATTTAAAAGGATCGTATAAGAAGAAAGCCTATTCTTTAAATTTAATGATTTAAAAATTAGAACAAAATATAGAATAAAAATAAATATGAGTATATCATTTTAAATTTATTAGTATTTAATATTTACTAAATAACAATGAAAATCATTTGATTGAATTTAATTTTAAGTTTTATTAACAAATTTACATTCATGATCTGTATAAAAAATAGTATTTGTTAAATAAATAACTTTATTGATTATTTCATGAATTAAATAGATGATATCTAACAAATACTTATATATAGAAATCGAAAATTGGTTCATTTGATTGATAATCACTGTTATTTTTCCTGCTATTATTCTCCACTTTGATCTGAAATCTTTGGATCTAATTAATCATCAATCTCTTTAAGTTTTTCTTGAGGCTATTCATTTTCTTATTTGCCTGAAGATTCAGAATCTCCTAATTCTTTTTTAGAAAATTAATCAGTTTCTTTCTAATTTATAACTATCTAATAATAAAATACTTACTGTTATTTTATTAAATAAAGTTTTAGGACCCTTGATTATCACTAAATTTCTAAGAAGATTACTGATCCCTTGGGGATGATTCATCATCAGCCTCCTACAATTTTCTTTTTTTCCTAATACCATCATCTAAGTTAAAATAAAAATCTTATTAATTGGCCTCTGTCTTAGCAGCGTTCTAATTCTTCTTTTTTCCATCATTTGAGGTGGAATTTGTCTGACTTTATTGTTTTTCATTCTTTTTTATATATACTTGTTTGAGATCCTGTGTTGATGGTAATGATTTAGTCGATAATTTCATTTTAGAGTTTTATGCATTTTCTTGAGGTTGTTCCTTTAGTGTAGGGATTAGGTATAAAGAAGCTGTTAGAACACCAACTCCAAAACCAATTAAAATCTTTGTATCAAACAAATACTCCATCCAATTCATGAAGAATAAACTTAATTAATAATAAAATTAGTTTTAAAATACAACCATTCTAATCGAATCGCAATTTAATTGAAAAATAAACAATACTTAAGAATCAATTATAAATAGCATATTTTTAGGCCCATTCCTTTGCTTTTTTTTCGAAATCAATTTTATTATTTTTATAAAGTAAAGTTGCATCTGGAAAAAATGAGTTATCCTCATCCGGATTTTTTAATAGCTATTTAATGCTCGTCAAAACTAAGATTAATAAAATGCTTACTTTTGTGTACTGTATAATCACTTGTCCAATCATCCTTTAGGATACCTAAATAAATATAACCTAAAACATTTATGTTTGGATGAAAAATTTTATTCATGAATGTAACTTAAGGAGGAATTTATGGATATTCAATCGAAAACTAAAAGTTAAGGAAAAATAAGTAATTTTTATAGGGTGAATCATCTGGGCCTTTTATGCATATTTGTATTTAATAGTTTCCTATTTCATATATATCTACAATAAAATCATCTGTGCCCTAATGCTTCATTTTATTTATTTGCTCAAAATCTCTTCTTATTCTTTCCTTAGCCATATTTCCTAATATTTTATAAAATATATATTGCGAAATTCTGCTGTATTATTTTATAATATATAATTTCATTGAGTATACTTTCTAGTCCCCCTCCTTTATTTCTGTCGTTTGCCAGCTTCTTGTGTGTTTAAAATATTTTCTTCCGGAAATTATCCTTTTTAATTGATAAATAATGTTAATGCGCTTTATCGCCTTGATTTGAAAGGTACTGGTGAGAACTAAATTGTCTAAGGAAAGTAATTTTGGAAAAATTTGTCAGAACAATTCCTGTTTGATTTATAGATTTCTATTTCTAAGATGTTTATTATTAAATAAAAAAGTTATTGATAATATATTTTACAAGTTTTGTCATGACTCCTGAGCAATTTATAAAATAATCTATAATTGTTTTATGTGTTCTTTAGGAATTATAAATAAACAAGTTTTGATTTGGATATTATGCTTAAGCATCTCAAAGTAGTAGTTATTATGAATTAAATAAATAGAATTTAGTTTTTTATTTATTTGTTTACCTATTTTATATATGAATTAGAGGTTGAAAAAAAGAAGATATAGATTTAATAAACAGATCCTTTATTTTGATATTCAATTATAATTTTATTAGAAATAAATTGGGATAAAAAAGAAGATAATTATAACAATATTTTTATATAACTAGCGTGAATATATCTTTCTCAAAATTGAATATTCAAATTATTTGGTTTTTAATGAAATTCAAGTAACCTTTATTTCTAAAGTTGGAAAAAATGTTAAAAGAATTTCTTTTAGCAAGCTTTAGTTTAGTGGTTTAGTCATAAAATAATCCATTCCATTTTCATAGCATTTTTGCTTAGTCTAGAGGTCACACAATCCTGTTGTGGCGATACAATAAACTTTCTTAATTTCTTCTGATTTCATTTATGCTTTAATAATTTTAATAGTTTGAAATCCATCCATTATAGGCATATTAATATCCAAAAATATAAGTAAATAATACTAATTATTGCAATGTTAGCAGGGATTTTCCTTTTTGTACTTAATTTAAGCAAGAGAATCTTAACCATTAAATGCGTGATCACACTATACTCCATATTTTTGCATAATCAATTTTAGGCATCGTATATTGTAATATTCATCATCAACAATCATAGCTCTTGAACAACACTCACTTTGTAAACAATATTCTAACATATCTTTCTTCTATTTTGTTTAAAAAAAAGGTAAAAAATGAATATTATTTTGATGTGATTCGCTTTAAACATCACTTTCAATTTCATCTTCAAAATGATGAACTACAGAATATGATTTTGTTTCTTTTCTCTTTTTTTTGAACTATAACTTTTAGGAGGATATATTTGATGATATAACATGAGATTATTACCCTAGTGGTCCTTCTATATAAGAATTTTATGAGAGCAATTTGATAGATTATGACCCTTGAGAATATTCTATTAACGCCTTTGAATTTGAAATATATGTTTCCTAAATATCATTAGGCAATTCAAAATAAAATTATGTTCCAATCAACAATTTTTTAAACTTAATAGGCACCCCTCTATTCAGTTATTTGACAATCATGTTAGATATGACTAATCCCATCCCAGAACCAACTTAACTATCAGAAACTTTAATAAATTCATCCTTATCCAATAAGTAAATTAGATTGTGTTCCTCTTCTTCACTCAAACCAATGCCAGTATCCTCAATTGATAAAATAAATCTATCCGCATTATTATAAATATTAACTCTTATTTATCCTGATAAAGTGAATTTAATAGCATTTGATAATAACTAAAAATAAATTTATTCAAATCGCTCTTTGTCAGTAATTAAATATCTGTTCTTTAAATGATATTAAACTGATAATTCTATTCCTTTACTTTGAAGAGGCTCTTCGAATAAAGTATTGATAAATTCTACTGTTTAGATGATTTACATCTCTTCTAATTTAAGTTGAAATATTTTTAACCCCAAATGAGTAAAATCTCTTACATTATTGATAATTAGATTTAATTAGACGCTATTAATTAAGATAGGGTATATATAGGTTGTTTTTATTTATTCTGAAATTCCCTCATCTTCAGCAGCTAAATTACTGAATGTCATAAGGGAGTTTAGGCTGGTTCCTAATTCATGTGATAATTATTTACACATATCAAAAAACAATTATTTTCTGACTCTACTTTATTTTCTTTAATATTTTTAAGGGACATCCAAAAACAAAAACTAAATGAGTGTTTCACTTTCACTATTTTTAACCTATTCTATGAGTAAAACAGTGTCTCTAAAATCAAATGTGTCATTATCTTCAATCGAAAAATAATAAACGTTGGATAATTCTTCGTAATAATCAGAGAGAAAGTCTGATATTTTAATTTTATGTGTAATGTCGTTATATTTGTATAATAATGATAATTAAAAAAATTCCTGTTGAATAATTAAATCTCCTTTCTAGGGATCACTCTCAAATACTTTTTTTAAATAATCTTCTAACCTTATGGTGGACTCGAAAACATCCATTTTTGTGTTAAATGTAAGTTTCTTGGTTGAAAATCGATCATATATATTAAATGGTGCTTTTGGACTTTTCACTGAAGGTGATTCAAATTGAAATGTTTACCCAAGCTTTTATTAGTTTGTAGTAGTATTAAGAGTGCTATTTGGTTAATGGTATTAGGACTTTCCACCATTTTTATCTAAAATTAAGGAAAGGTGCTTGGCGTCCAAGACTACTAAAATGATATCAAGGGAGAAAATAAAATAGCTATCTGTAGTCACAGAGAGATAATTAAATGTATTAATGCAAATTAAAAAAAATGCATAGTAAAACATACTTCGTTGTTAAAGGCTTTGTTCTTTTGAAAAATTGAATTGAATAATCAGATGAACATTTAATGAGATGGAAATATTTTCTTAGGTAGAACTCCAAACTGATATCCCCTTGATTATATAGCCCAGATAAAACAGCAGCATTTGTGTGAAATTTGAGAATCTATGTTAAAAGGAGGAAATCCCTTATAAAGTGCTTCCAAGTATAAAACTAAGAAAATAAATTACTAATAATGAGGAAGTTTCCTCTATCTCTTAATAATTGTGATACCCCAACTATAGAAAACAATTTCAGCCAATACTACTAGGTCTTCAGAAAATCTCAATACTTCTTTATATTTCATTTATTAAATTAAGTTTAGTTTGTATTCTAATTTAACTTCATTAGTGAGTATTGTAGGACCATACATGAAAAGATCAATATTTTGAATTTCAAATAAATTTTAAATACATAAATCGGTTTACTCTCATCAAAATTCTGAGACTCACTCTAATTATCTATTCTATAGTTTCTTTTGGAACTAATTCTCAATTGAGTTTTCATCTGCAAAAAATGTGAATTGATGAGATACTAGTTTCGAGGATTTTTGAGAAGGCATTGCTTAAAACGTCTGAAAATTAGAGAAAAATGATCTTTTATCCCCAGGGTCATTATCTTAATTTGGTTCTGAATCTGATGATTAACTCAAACTAATAAATTTCGAGGCAAAATCATTTCGAAATGTTAATTACCTTGTACTTTAACAATTATATTAGTTGCTAGCAGTATTGTGTCTTGCCTCAAATTATTCTTTAGAATGAGTTAACTAAATTTCAACTTATATTTCCTTTTCATTCTAAGATTTTTGCCCTTGTTTACATATAGAACCCATTCTCAAGATAATAAGAACTTAATAATTTTTATTTTTTATTATTATTTATAAAGAAATGCCAATTTTGATAATAATAGTATGACTAAAGGTACTAATTTGAGAGATTATAATTAAATAAAAATGTAGCTATTCAAGATTAAAATCAAATTGAAAATTTTTTCTGGTATCCCCCAATTTGAAATTTATATAAGATCAAACTCAATCGAATTAGCTATTTCATGAAAGACTAATTAGATTATTTACTTTAAATAGCAGCTTAAATGAGGATAATTCATATGGAACTTTTAATTAAGTGATACAATTGAGAACAAGGACTTTAAGTTCTGAATCTTGAATATAAAGAGTTATTATGTATAATAGTTATTCTAAATTGATTTATTGTTGTTAAAATGCATACATGTTATTACTCATGCTTTCCAAAGTAGGAAATACAATTCTTTGTGTTAATAAAAAATGTATTTCTTTGTTTAATGAATCACATGACTTCCAAAATTCCTCCCAACAATACAATTCCATCCAAATTAATCAAATTTATCAAATTCGTATTTAATGTGATGAGCTATTTATTTTTCAGTTCTAAATTGTTGCATTGCTGAATATGTGATTTCGGTCACCTTTTTAATAAAGTCCTCATCCATATCTGTGGCTTTTATTTAAAGTTTCATTTAATCCATTTTGATAATGTAGAAAAATAATAATATTAATGTTCAATTTTATTATAATAAAATCATTCTTATGGCTGCATTTATTGAAGTTAAGTAATAGCCATAAGGGCCATAATTAATTTGATTGGTATTAATAAAATGTTCGATGAAATACAGATGAACTTATAAATCAAAAAGCTGAGATTTGATTATTATGTACATATATATTGAGATAAGATCAGCCGATTCAATTTGAAAATCATATTCACAACCATATATATTGTAGAAATGCTTAATCTATTTAATAATCTTCTCTAAACAATAGATTAATGCTTTGAGTTTTTATTAAGGAGACTATTTCTCTTTGATTTAAGCTAAAAGTTTGAAGCATTTATGATAAGGAATTCCTTCTCTATAATTAATTTCACAGTTAGAATATTTTTTTAGTAAATATGAGTGTGTAGATTTATTAAGTCTATATTTCACATTTATTTCATAAAAGTCTATTTCATGATTATAACATTTTTCAATATTGGTCTTTAACTTATCAATATCTTTTCTCAGATATTCCAAAGTCATATCATAAATTATTTAATATGTGATTTCTTTTTAAAATAGCATTGAATAAATTGCTGTCAACATAGTTTCTCTATTAAATAGATCAGTCACAGGCCCTGCAGACATTTACGACTTTTCAATTGAATAGTAATTTTAAATGCAAGATTGAAACACTTTTGAAAATTCTTTTAGGTCTGTAACAGCATGATCTAATTGCTTCGAACAACGATCCATATTGTACTATCTTTTAAATGAATCTATAAAAAAATGTAGAATCACATTAAGTTAATGATCCTGATTGCTTATCTGTTGCTTCAACAATTTAATCATATCCACATAATATAATAGTTGAGACATTAACAATTCGTCTTCCTTATCAAAGCTTTCACTAATTTTTTTTTTCTCAATTATTTATAAAGACACAGATGCTTCTTATTTATTCAGAATTGTATTGGTCTGAATTTCTAGTTATTGTATAGTTAAATCTGTGTTTAAAATAAGTTGCTTGATAGATGATTCTGAACTCTGCTTAATTGATAAATTTGGATTACTAGAATAACTTTAACTCTTTCGCGAATTTTTTAGAAACTAGCCTAAGAATAATTCTTATTTCTTACTCTTGTACTATTGATTGGCTGATTAAAATTAGATTATATACCCTTCAATTGGTTAGGATTTTAATCCACCATAAACTTGTGATAAAAAATATTTTGCCCATTTGCACCGATCTTTTATTGATTCGCATTCCCTTTGTAGTTGTTTTTTCCAATCAATGCTCTATTAGATGATAGTTTATATTACAGCAAATTCATTATCGTTCGATTAACAGGACACACAGGCAAAATTTATTGGTGAAGAATGTTGAGTTCCCATTCGGAAATATTAAATAATAATCAGTATTTATTGAT